TGATTCTCTACAGATCAGTAGAGACTCAAGATTTTTAGTCAACAAGAAAATTCGATTTTATGTCCAAATATTACTGCTGCCACCGCTTATAAATGTCATCATTTTCTTTGCAGTTTTCTTTTTAAGTGCATATCCCTTCAGGAAGTTGGTGGTCAAGGCTCTCCACAGCTTACTTTTATTATCTGTACATTTCAAAGAGTTCTTTAGAAAGATAATGAAGAGATTTCCACTTGCATTCGGTTTGGAAATTAAGAGTAGCCTTCTGCGAGACTTATGGCCATATCACGTTGAAACATCGGTTCCTGTACAATCACTGCCATTAAGCAACGTCGAGCATGGGTGACAACTTGGGCATAAAAAGTGCTGTAAGCTTGGGTGGTTTAATGGATAATGGCTCGAAATAGTTAATCGGTGGTCCAATTCACATTGCTTGACACCCGCAGCAAATACCTTTGATAAAATCATGTGTCCAACTCTTCACCCCCCAGCTATGGGTTAGTTAGTTAGTTAGTAAGTCATCATTAAATCATTATTATCTCAAAAAAGAATTCTTTGAAACGAAACATATTCTCTGGCTTTAAATAACCTGCAAAGGGTTGATAAGCCGTAGAAAATGAATCAATAAAACACTCTCTGCTCTCCAACCCGAGACATACACTCTTATTTCATGAGTATAAAAATGAATGCTACTAACGAAATTGGAATTTCAACCCAGCTTACTGATTCACATTTTCATACCGACAGCCGTTAGATAATCCGCTTGTATCCAATAATAATTTTAAAATTAACAAAATATTACCTATAATCTCTTTCTCTTAGACTGGTTATCTCCCAAATCTAGAAAACAAAACTAACTTTCACTCCTGATTCCATTTTATATATATATATATATATATATATATATATATATATATATATATATTATAAATTAACTGATTTAAAATATTTTTTTCGCTACACAGTAATAACCATGTTTCAAAAAATGGATGCTAAAAACTTTAAATTTATTTTTGTAATTAAATTAAAAACATTAGTTCCATTTCATCCTCAAGCTAATTTTGGAGTAACTTATTTTTTAAATTTACTGAGTTTTAACTACAAGAGAAATTCATAATTTACCGGTTACCAAGGATACAGAGAAATTCAATCATCCAGACAAGGGGTGGTAACGTGTTCAGTTTTATTAACTTTTGTTGTATCAGTTATTTGTTACATTCGAAAAAGGGGTTAAGTTTAGGTACGGGTGGGGATGTATTTTTCAACGAATTCTGACATCCGTTAAAGTCATTTTTTTGGTTTTTTATTTTAAATTTTATTGTTAACGGCAAAAATTCTTACGGCATTTTTTCTATTTGTATACTTAAAGATTTTTGGCTAGATGTTTAGGTTAAAATACGTTTTATTTAACTATTATTTTAAAATATTTTTCCTTTTAATTGAGCACTATTTTGTAAAAAATAAAAATATCAATAGGAACACCGGATTACATATCTTACTGTTCTTTCTTTTTATTTAAATATACATACATATGTATATATATATATACTAGCAGCATGGTCCAGCGTTGCCCGTGCTTGATTCAAAAATCGTACTACAGCAATTGCAATCACTTGACTTAAAATATTTTTGCCCTTCCTTGCCTTTAAAAGAGTGCCCTTTGCCGTGCTGATGCTGCTACATGCCTTACTTCTTGCCAATCTCACACTGCGAATTTTTTCTAATATCTATACTAAACATTAACTCTGTTACGAAAAATGAACTAAACAAAATGAACACAAAACGATCAGCTTTAAAAAAGGACTCGTAACTGGAAAAACCGAATGAAAAAAGAATGTTAACAACAAATAGTTTTTCACACCCAACCCAGTTCTGCGGAATCAGAATCAACGTTGATTTTAAGCAAGCGAATGAGCCAATTGGAGTAAAGTGCCATGCAGATTTAAATTTTTCGACTTGTGAAGAATGCAGCTATCGATTTTTTTTTTTGCATGCTAGCATGTTAGTTAACATTCGTGTCAGTCAGCTGTTGGCTCTCACGCTGGCCAGTAGAATCTCCCTGCCTATTCGTGGCAGCCAGCTATAGGCTCTCACTCTGGCCAGTAGAAAATGGCCGCAAACTACATGAAAACTGCCATAGAAGTATGAACAAAATCGATTATTTCCACTATCGATGGGAGTTGGGAAATGCAAAGTCGGTCTTGTCCTTCTGCTCTAACTTGGAGCATGTGCATGTAAATTCTGGTGCAAATCCGTCGAAAATTGCGGCCGTGCATTCGTTACACACACATATCCTGCCTTTCATATATATATATATATATATATATATATATTAGCACGTAAGCAATGGGAAAGGTATGAATCCTCTCCCTCTCCCTCCAACTATGGGTAAAATAGCAGGACAGAATGCGTTCTATAGCCTTGGATGGCAACTGGCCTAGGAGAAGGACAACTCTGAATTCAAAACCTGCGGAGGGTCGTTTGGGAACCTTGTGGCATTCGGTGCACCAGGTCTCTGTATTCGTCCCTTCAGAAAGTGTGGATGGTCCTGCACGAAGCCTTCACCACTATAATCAAATCTCATGTGCCGGTGTCGGGCTGTCGGTTTCCTGGAAACTGATCTGCTTGACCCTCATACGTCGAATCTCGACGGGAGAGTCGATTATATATATATATATATATATATATATATATATATATATTGAACAATAAAAAAAAATATTAAAAAATTAAAATCTTCAGACACACTGGTTTGTATATTAATATTATTTCGTTTTTATGATTATTTCATTTAGATTCCTCGACTAGTTTCGACCAACATGGCCATCATCAGGAGAGAAAAAAATTCTGCTTGCTGATAGCAGTGAACTACAGAAATGAATGTCTTGATGAAGAAAATGAACTTTTGTCTGAAGTCTCATTCGTTTTTTTTTTATTTATTTTTTTTTATTTTTTTCACATGAATTTCTCCTGGCTAAAAACTTTTCTTAGGCCACTGTATTAAAAAATTTACCTAATGCAAACTATTATCAGTTGTGTTAAAACAATCACTTGTATCGCATAGAACAGAGAATATCCTGAAGAGTGAAAAAAACTGTGTTAATTTACAATGGCAATTACTAGAACATAGTGAGGTTATCTGAAGTATTAATACTTCATAACGTAAAAAAAAAATATCATTAATTATAATTTCATTCATACCTGATGTTAATTCGAAATGAAAATCGGTTTCATACACGCCGGAATTGTGTCAGGTTTTGTCACTGTTGTTATCTAATGCAAGGACACAATGTCTTTGAAGGCGTTGACGTATTTGCGAAGAGAAATATTAACTTTAATATATATTTCTTCTTTCGTTTTTAAATTTTCTTGTTCATGTAGCATTTTTTAAGCATTTAAAATGAATCTCATTTCTTTTTTATTTTTTAATTATCCATTTTCCAACTTTTCTCGCTTACTGTTTTCGTATTTAACAAAAAACGAAGCCTCAAAATTGAAAATCATTTTTACTTTATTTTATTCTATACTTTTCTTTTACATTGATGGAATTTGGCGAGGCGGCATTTTTCTTAATTTGAAATTAATTTTTAATTGTCCATTTTTGTTGCTGTTGTTGTTACTCACCTTCATCATTTCGCCCGAGATTTAATTATTTCTGTAATGTTCTCTTCTTTAATTATAAACTATTTCGCCCCGAGTTGAGATCGATCGTTGTTCGCTTTCTTTCGTTGTCCTTCATTTAATCCTGAACAATTAAACTTCTTTGTCTTGTTTCTTTAAACTTCCTGCTTGCATTTCTTCAAGTCACAAGCCGGAAGGTAAAAATTGGCTCAACAATGATTGATTTATTGATTCATTTTTTTCACGGTTTATCAACCCTTTGCAGGTTATTTAAAGCCAGGAAATATTTACAGATTGTAACAATCTTTTTTCCGATATTTATATCTCATCAGCAAACAAGTAATTATACTGTGACTATAAAGTGAGGGATCAATTTTATATGAAAATCAATATATGAACTGATCCCTCATTTTGTGGCCATGACAATTTCTATCCACCTATATTCCAGAGAATGTAATTAAATATAAAAGACATCATGCCTGCGAAGCTAATTAGTATTTCATTGATTGATTGATTCTTTTTTCACGGCTTATCAACCCTTTGCAGGTTATTTAAAGCTATAAAATATTTATAGATTGTAACAATCTTTTTTCGATATTTATACCTCATCAGCAAACAAGTAATTATAATGTGAATATAAAGTGGGGGATCAATTTTATATGAAAATCAATATATAAACTGATCCCTCACTTTGTGGTCATGGCAAATTCTATCCACCTATATTCCAGAGTATGTAATTAAATATAAAAGACAGCATGCCTGCAGAGCTAATCAGTATTTCATTCATTGATTAGTTCGTTTTCTACGGCTTATAAACCCTTCGCAGGCTATTTAAAGCCAGATAATATTTTTGGATTGTAAGATTTTTTTTTTTTACATAATAATAGTTCATTCATAAAAGTTTTAATAATTAACCCATAGCTCGGGGAGAGAAGAGGCGACTTCATACTTTTCCCATGGTTATTTGCGCGTATTGAACCCAACGGGTATTTGAACTCGGCACTCTGATTAACAATTTCGAGTCGATATTCAGTCCACTACCCGCACATCCAAGCTTACAGCACTATCTAGGTACTGACCAGACTGGACGTTGCTTAACTTCGACGATCGTCCGAGAACCAGTGCTTCAAAGTGATGTGGCCGGAAAACAGCTGAAAGAGAGTAAACATTTATGAAATACTAATTTTAATTTTTGTGATTCAAACGGTTTTTTTTATTTTAGAAATTAAAAAATTATAATTTGAATTATGTTTTAGGTGTATTGATTGATTTATTTTTACGGATTGTCAACCTTCTGATGGTTATTTTAAAGCCATGATATATTTTCGATTGTAAGCTTCATTTAGAGATTAACACGATTTACTGATACACGTCCTGTTACGTTCCAAGCGATCACCCATGTAGGTGCTGACCAGGCTCAACGTTGCTTAACTTCGGTGATCCTACGGGAACCGGTGTCTCAAGGTCATAAGCCTTCAACTTGGTGTTATGGCTAACAAGCTTGTCTCGTTAGATCTATTATGACTAGTGAGTTCGCACCTCACTGGGTACTCTATACTCTCGGCCTTGTGCCACATCTAAGGTAAGGTAAAAGATCAAAAGTAGTTTAGAACAACAAAAGACTGGCAGTTGTGGAGAGCCATGATCATCTAATCACGGCATATCAATTAATTTTTGAATGTTTGATCCGAAGTTGCAGCATCCTTAAAACATATCAAATGATCCTTGAACTTCGAACGGAATTTCGCCTCAGCATAGGAATAAAATATACTTTATGCATACATTAAGGGGATTCCTTAAACAGATATGAGGAAAGGTCATGAGGAAATCTCTTAAAAGTTGCATATTTTTCGTTTTGTCAAGTGAGTTCCGTTTATGACTCAAAAGAAATCTTTTTGTTTCTCGATTTGGCACTTAGCGATTTCACAGGTCGATCAAAGACCTCCATCATCACTGATGCTTTATTATTCTAAGAAATATGCAAGCATCAAATCATCTTAAATTAATTTGGTTTTATTTATATTTTACCATTATCTCCTCTTTTTCCATAGATCCAGACAACCTCAAACAGTCTTTCTACATATATATTTTCCCCTATACACAGTAAATGTCTTTCACAAGTGGATAACGGTTGATATTTTTAAACGTTGACAATTTTATTGCTTTTTGTGAATATTACATATATTTTATTCATTCGTTTGATTGTTATGATCTCGTGACCTCTCACTCTACACGAGAACTGTGTAAACGAGAATGCGAACAGCCGTTACAAAAGATGGCTTCCTACAATGATGCTTTGATTCACTATAAAGTTGATTCTAGGTGATATTGATATCTGTGTTGTTTTGTTTGACGCATTCAGTAAAGATACAGAAATTCTTTAGATTCGGCAAAAAAAAAAAGACAGAACATGCTGAAAAGAGAAGTGAATTTGGTATAAAATTAAAAGATGCTGACGAGATAAGTAAACGAGAAGGAAAAGGAAATTAAAATATAGAGACAAGTACAAGAGTCATGGATCCAGTGACATGCATAAAATGTCGTATGAGCTATGGATAGCGGCTCGGAGTGAGGAATCGGAGAGCCGAGTTCGAATTCCAGTCGAATCCATTACATTCACTTACGTGCTAACACCCTCGGGAAAGGTATAAATCCCTTTCTTCTCTCTCCAGCTATGGGTAAATAGCAGAAAAGACCGGGTTCTATAGCCTTAGATGGCAACTGGTCTACCGCAGAAAGAAATGGCAATCTACTGCGGGGAAAAATCTTCCTCGTCAGTCATGTATCGAAAGATACATGATCGCCTAAGCGTGTATCGCGCATGGCACATAACTGACTGACTGACTTTCCAGTCGAATCCATTATATTCACTTACGTTCTAATAACCTTTTGAAAAGTATAAATCCTCTTTTTCTCCCCTCCCCCAGCTATTAGTAAATAGCAGGACAGACCGGGCTCTATAGCCTCGGATGGCAACTGGTCTACCGCAGAAAGAAATGGTAACCGACTGCGGGAAAAAAATCTGCCTCGTCAGTCATGTATCGAAAGATACATGATCGCCTATGCGTGTATCACGCATGGCACATAACTGACTGAATTATTTCCCTTTGCTTACTTTTAAAGACTCATATTTCAACCACTGCATCGCCGTGCGTTTATTTATTTATAAGTCTGCCCCTTCAGGACGTAGGAGAACATGGCCCTCTACATCTTCCTGTCTCTTGTAGCTCTTAATAAGTTTTGTCTTTTTGTTATTTTTCCCAAACCCTGTACCCCTATCTTCTTGCTCAACCCAATCATGTATTTTACTCGCTTAATCCTTGTGTCCTTCTTTGCATTAATCTGCCCTGTGAGTATCAGATTTTCCAAGCCGTCCTTCCTCATTACGTTCCCAAGACATTTCAGCTGCCTCTTCTTGATGTTACGTATAAGTTTCTTTTTGTTTCTATTCTCTCCAAAACCTCGTCGTTACTCAAATGTTCGGCCTATGGTATCTTCAGCATCTTTCTGTAGAACCACATTTCTGTTGCTTCAAGTCTCTTCTTCATCTTTGAGATCGTCCAACATTCGCTGCCATATAGGAGGACAGATATCACGTAACAATTCAGTACTCTTTTCTTTTCTTTTTCTCATCGTCTGTTTCTTCTTGTATATTCCGTGACCCTTCAGGGCGTTGGCAATCATGACTCTTCACAATTTCCTGTTATTGATAGCTTTTAAAATTTTTTTGTCTTTTTTTCCCTCCTGAATTCTGTTCTGCCATCCAGTTACTCAAGCTCGCTTGATAGAATATTACCCTGTATCTCCTACTTTCAATCTGCCTTGTGAGTATCAGATTTCCCAAGCCCTCTTTTCTCATTATGTACCCTAGAAATTTCCACTGTCTCTCTTTGATGTTAAGTAGTATAAGTTTCCTTTTTTTTCCATCTTCTCTAAAACTTTGTCGTTGCTCACATGTTTGGTCTATGGCATTCTCAACATTCTTCTGTAGAACCACATTTCTTACTTTAAGTTTATTCATCTTTAAGGGATTGTCAAGCCTTTACTGCCATAGAGGAGGAATGATATTACGTAACAGTTCACTACGCATTCTTTTTTTTTTTTTCGTAACAAAATTTTTCCATTTTTTAATACTTTGCTTAGCTTTTGGAAGGCATCTGTCACGTTCCAAATGCATCTTCGAATTTCAGTATCGCAATTCTCGTCTTCTGTTAAATCACTTCCCACATATTTTAACTGTATTTGTTTGATTTTGGTATCTCGAAATTGTATGTTGAACTGTTTCTTTTGATGACAATTATGAATTCTCTCTTCTTGAAACTGATGCTTAGTCCTTTCTTCTCGCTTTCCTTTGCTACCTTCTGTAAGAGTCCTTGTAGTTTTCTTTCCGTGTCTATATCAACACAGTGTCATCTGCATATCTTATGTTGTTAAGACCATGGCCACCAATAATGAATATTGCCTCTCTCAGAATTGCCTCACTCTATACGTTGAAGTCCGGTGAGACGACACATCCTTGTCTTACACCCCCTGTCTATTTTTTTATATCTGCTAAACCCATTTTCTATCTGCATGCCGGCAGTTTGCTGCGAGTATATGTTCTGGATTATTCCAATATCCTTCCCAAATATATCACCACTGGTGTATATATCATCTTTTTATACTTTTAAGATTAAGTTAAATATAGAAAATTAAATTTTCCAATCGGATTTTTGTGCATTGTTTCTTTAACGGATTATATCCGCATCAGATATACGAAAAGATTAAATTATACGAATTAATCTGTTAATCTCCTTTTCATTTTTAGATAATCTGTATTCAAAATAAATGTTGGATAAGAAAAGATTGCTAGCCATTCAATGACACGCAGTTGATTGAATATGCATTTCCAGTCCAGATAGTGCATCTCAGTGCAGCAACGATGGCATAAAAACTGGTGCACTTTTGCATATTTTAGACACACTATGCAGATGGTATCCGGATGATCGCAGTGTAACTGTTTGCATCATGAAGCAAGAACCGAAGTTGGTTACTCTTTATGACATGTTGATATCGTAGATTTTATTATTTATGACATGTTGATATCGTAGATTTTATTATTTATGACATGTTGATATCGTAGATTTTATTATTTATGACATGTTGATATCGTAGATTTTATTACTATAATAATGTACTATTAGCGAAACACTTCGTGAAAATACACATGTCATTACCTTTTCGTTGAACTGAAACGCAGATTCTTTCACCAAATTATCATTATCATCATTCGACTGCATCAGTCTTCTTGGGGGATGGGAGCTGCGGACAGAAGAAACAAGAAAACTCGTCGTGTCTGATCTCTTGGCCGTCGCTCTGAGGAGTTCTGGCATTGTCCACCCTGACCAGCTCTTGTGTTGCCACCCCCGCTGGCGTCCGCTTTCAACACTGCCTTGCATAAACCTCCTCCTAGGACTGCCATGCCGTGTGATGTGACCAAACAATGCTATCCCCCGACGATTAATAGAGACAAGGAGAGATTCCTGTCGGGCAACGAGACTTTCGAACTCGCTCCGTACATAGACGTTGGTCTTGGGCTCCCAGTTTCTTTCCCCAAACTTCCCAGTTGTTGAACTCCCTTCCGTTTATTTACTTCCTTGATAATTACAATATTCAAAATTTTAAATGTAACGTTAATCGCCATCTTCTGTTGACTTGAACCCCGTTCATCCTTTGTCCTTTCTTTAATCCTCCCTATACTCAGTCTTCTCTTTCACCTTTCACCTTTGCTCCTTATAACCCCCTGCATATTAATGGCATTCCCGCTGGCGTCGAAATGATTGAAAAAAAATTCATCCACAAATATCCACATTTTGAGCAATTATGCTCTATATCAATTTATATAATCGCTATTATTTGAAATGACTTATCATCGCTTTCTTTTTATGTGCCATGTCCTTTCAGGACGTGGGCGATCATGGCTCTCCACTTCACTCTATCCCTTGCAGCTCTCAGCAAGTTCCTTCCCCCTGCTTCCTCCCCAAGACCACGTTCTGTCATCCAAGCTCGTCAGGTATGTCGTACGCTGCTTTCCCTTGTCTCTCATTTCATATTCGACCCGTGAGTATCAGATTCTCCAAGCCCTCTTTCCTCATTATGTGTCCCAGAAACTTCAGCTGCCTCTTTCTGGTGTTAAGTATAAGACTTCTCTTTGTTTGTAACCTCATCGTTGCTCACACGCTCGGTCCATGATATCCTCAATATCCTTCTGTAGAAACACATCTCCGTCACCTCGAGTCTCTTTCTTCAGGCGATTGGAAATTTCGAACTGAACCTTTTATTTATCTGGGAGAGGCATGGAACGTGGAACTAGAATAATCTACTCTGATGGACGAAATAAAGGGTTCAGTTTTAAATTTCAATCACCTGAAGAGTGCCGGAGCGTACAACGGCCGAAACGTTGTAAATATGACAACAAAGATGAGGACAAGAGTCCGAACAATGTAAATAATGTAAATAATTACAATCCCTCGTTTCAGAAATATAGATAGAACTAAATTAGGATAAACACAAGAAAAGAAAATCCAAGAATTGTATACGTTGCTCAACAAGCATACGCCATTCTAGCTGGTACAAAGACAAAAATAATGAGTTACAGTAGATCTTCAACCAGTAAGTTAAGAAATCATCACGATCATGGCTCTCCACAGCTTCTTATCCTTTGTAGCTCTTAGCATTTTTTGTTTTCTTACTATTCCTCCCAATGCCAATTCTGCCATTCATTTACACGAACTTATTACCCTTTTTTCCTTACTTGCTTTCACTACGTCCTGTGAGTGTCTGATTTTCCATGTCTTCTGTCCTCATTATAATGTTTCCTAGAAATTTCAACTCTTTCTGATTCTCTTTCCGATTTTTGTTTCCATTATCTTAAAACTTCCTCCGTCCATAATAGTCCCAGTATTCTTCTGTAGAATCACGTTTAAGTTGCGCCACGTCTCTGTTCATTTCTGAGGAAGTGTTGTCTTGCATTGAACGCTATATTGATTGACAGTACATAACGGCTCCACACGCTTTTCTTTATTTCGAACGAAAAATCTCTCTTTCTTAATACAGACGATATTTTCATTTTCGGAAACTAATGGTTAAATCAATAGCATTTGTTTTGTTTTACTAGTTTTCTTCATCTTTCTGTCGATTTTTATCAAAAAATTCTCGAACGTCATACGACCAACAAAGATAACGATTTTTGACCAATAAAAATAAACAGTATGAAGTTGGAATAAATAAGAATAAAGAAGTAGTTTACGGCTTTATTTCAATTCGTATCTGTTCTCGAAAATTTGTTTGCCATGGATGTCACCCTAATCAATTCGATCATGGAAGTTTCATTATGAGATACAAGTTTCACCGGAAGGTACTATTTTATTTTGATTTAAAACTGCTTAGGCTTACGGTCGGAAATATATACAGACATGAAAGTCAGGATAAAAAGTAATAATAAAACGTAGAAATCTATTTTAAAATATATATATATATATTTATATATATTTGTATGTATATATGTATGTATATATGTATGTATACATATATGTATATATGTGTGTATATATATATATATATATATATATATATATATATATATATATATATATATATATATATATATATATATATATATATATATATATATATATATGTATTTCAGAATTCAAAACAAGCAAGTGTTAAATTTAGCTTTCCCGCCACTTCTGTTGTATTATATGATTTCATTATTATAGGCTATGATTATTATAGGTAATGTTTATTATAGGTAATGATTATTATAGGTAATGATTATTATAGGTAATGATTATTAAAGGTAAGGGTTATTATAGGTAATGATTATTATAGGTAATGATTATTATGGGTAATGATTTTTATAGGTAAAGATTATTATAGGTAAGGATTATTATGGGTAATGATTATTATGAGTAAGAATTATTATGGATAATGATTATTATAGGTAATGATTATTATGGTTAATGATTATTATAGGTAATGTTTATTATAGGTAAGGGTTATTATAAGTGAGGATTATTATGAGTAATGATTATTATGGTTAATGATTCTTATAGGTAAGGATTATTATGGGTAATGATTTTTATAGGTAAAGATTATTATAGGTAAGGATTATTATGGGTAATGATTATTATAAGTAAGAATTATTATGGATAATGATTATTATAGGTAATGATTATTATGGGTAATGATTCTTACGGGTAAGGATTATTGTGGGTAATGATTATTATGGGTAAGGATTATTATGGGTAATGATTATTATGGATAATGATTATTATAGGTAAATAATGTTATAGGTAATGGTTGTCGCAATTCCCGTTTAAAATGATAATAATTTATCGTCCTCCCTTCTTAAAAATGTCTATTTTAAACCATTGTTGATTCATTAATGACAAACAATAGAATTCAATATCAATTATAATTAAATTAAAATGCATTATTAATTATTGGTTTACTTACATTATTTACATTATTCGGTCTGTTATCCTCATCGTCATTGCCATAATCACAACGTTTCGGCCGTTGCACGCTCCGTCCTTCTTCAGGTGATTAAATTTCGGATCGAACCATTTATTTCCTCCACAGGAGTAGATCGTTCTAGTTCCACATGGCATGCCTCTTCCGAATGTCTCAGTTATTTCCCTTTAACTCAAATCTAAAAGTTTGTTTCATCACTGCTGTGGCCTGGTATTGAATTCGCAAACCTTTGGGTTTAGTCACTGCATCTAACCAACGTGTTTATCCACAGGTCCATGTGTTGATGTTGACATCTCCAATTCGTAGTCCGTAGCTTGGGCTGATACAGTTCCCGAAAACCATACATTCAATCCTTTTTTTAAACTTATTTTTAGTCATTTCTTAGCGCTTTCATTTAATATCATATCTGTGTTCCCATAGATTTCTTTCTGTGTCTATTATTATCACTGTGACATACTTGAACGAAAAAAAAACGTGAATAAATTAACAAAAAGCAACTCAGCAAAAGAAAGAATAAAAATGAAGAGAAAGAACAAAGATATTAAAACAAAATACGATTCAGAGTATGTTCTGGATTCGTTCAAAAATTACGAGAATAATGGATGCTTTTATATATATATATATATATATATATATATATATATATATATATATATATGGTAAAATATTAAAACTGATAATCCCAGATTCTTTTGTGTTGGGGGCGGAAGAAAAACAACTTTGTCGGTCATGCGCACAATGAACCAAGCTGATTCTCGGCACTCCTTTGATTTACGTAAGCATAAAGAAGAAGAAACAGCAACAACAACAAAAAGTACTGAATACAAAACTTGAGGATGCATTTTCTCATTTCCTACATCTCTGTCGCTTTTATGGCGACAAATCGACTGAACAATCGATCAATCGAAGACAACATGATGCAACCCAGGGAAACTGGAAGTGATATTAGAAACACGAATTTCGAACAGCTGCTGTGAATTATATATTATCAACATGCGTAATATTTTTTCTATATTTCTCGTATAAAATACTGATTGGATAAAAGCATAGATGAAGCATCGGTAAAACATTTAAGGTATGCTAATTCGAATAAATGCAACCATTTAATTTTAGCGATTTTTTTTTTTTTTTTGACTCTTTTTCATCTAATTGGTTTGATTTGCTTCTTTTGAAGGAAGAACCGAGATATGAGTCAGATACGATACAGATAAAAAAATAAGGCGTATGTTGAATTATCCACCTTCTATAAATATAAAATTGTCTACCATTACTTCTCTGTTTTCTTCTCCAAATATAAAATAATTTCAGTTACCTTGTTGCTACATTTTACAAATATAAAATTCATTTACTGTTAGCCTTATACTACCTTCTACAAATATAAAATAATTTACTGTTAGCAGTTAGCTTTATACAAGGTCATCTGTGTATCTTATGTTTATACACACCAATAATAAATTCTGGTGTGCCTTCCAGGTCTTTTAATACAGTCCCACTGTATGAGTTAAATAAATTCGATGAAAAGATGCATCGTTGTTTTACTCTTCTTCCGATTTTTGTCAGGATTCATTGAACTTGTAATCTATCGGCATGCAGACTGTTTGTTGCCAGTAAAATGCCATATATGGAGCGTTAATTGTATTTGTCTGTAGATGAAATCTTCAAAGTAAACAAGACCGAATGGAAAGAAAGGTCATGCTGTCTTTTACTGTTGATGTTCCGTTTCCCAGTTAGGAGTTTTGGAATCTTGGAATCCACAAAAAAAAAATTATTTATTTATATAAATATTAATATTTTTTGTTGCTGTTTCTGTGTCATTTCCATTGGACTGCAATTTGATTTCTACATGACGAGTAAATAAAATGTGGGAAACGATAGTAAATTTCAAACTGTTTCTCTGTCGTCAGCAAATTTGTCATCTTTTGAACCGTGGGAATCTACAAGGCTGGAAAAAATTGCATCGTTGAAACTTCGATTTATCTTGCGTGTTTGACCTCTATCTTCGATTTGCGTTTTATTGTCTTTCTGTCTTTCTTCTTTTTGTTACTCCTTGTTGTTCATGATGACGGTCGTCTTTGAGTATAGAATCCAGAGGTTAGCAGTGAATATTTCGAAGACAGTAGGGAAGCGTAGTTCAGGTTAGCAGTGGATATCCCGGTAAAGTAGCAGAGCGTAGTTCTTCCTTCTGTTCCTCTTCGTCTGACAAGCTGGCACTGGACATTCGGAGAGAGTAAACAAAATGGCCGCCTTTATACACGACGGATTGAATATTTTACGTCTTCTGATTGGTTAACCTTCTATTGGTGGACTATAAAGTGAGTCAAGTCATTTGGGCTAGCTCACTAGTACATATATATACAGTGTAACCCGGATATAAGAGAGTTGTCGGGACCGGAGAAGAAGTCTCTTATATCCGGGTTTCTCTTATATCCGGGTCTCTTATATCCGGGTTACACTGTACACAAAAAACTGCAACAACTGCTACTAATGATGAAATAATCTCTACATCTCCGAATTGCATTATTATTATTATTATTCTGAGGGACTTTTCCATCCTTAGTTAGCATATATGTTATCCCTGTCAATACCTCATAAATAATGGACAATCCCGTTTTGATCGTGTGGAAAGATGAAAAAGACATCTCAGAGACGCTACTTGGTTTCACTGGGAGAAAGAAAAAAAGAAAAAATTGAAAGAAAGAAATGCTCTTCCAAAACCCCATAAATGATGGACTGTTACGTCTTGATCGGGTGGAAAGAGGTAAAAGACATATCGGAGACGCTGCCTGATTTCAGTAATAGATAGATAGATAGATAGATAGATAGATAGATAGATAGATAGATAGATAGATAGATATAAAGAAAGAAAAAAGATAGAGAGATATATAGATAAGTAGAAAGAAAGGAAGATAAAAAGAAAGAAGAAAAGAAAGAAAGAAGAAAAGAAAGAAAGAATGTTGGATAGACATATAGCTAGAAAGAAAGAAAAAAGGACAGATAGATATATAGATAAGTATAAAGATAGATAGATAGATAGATAGATAGATAGATAGATAGACATAAAGAAAGAAAGAAAGGACATAAAGATATAAAGAAAGGATATAAAGATATATAGATAAGCATATAGATAGATAGATAGATAGATAGATAAATAGAAAGAAAGAAATAAAGGAAAGAAAGATAGATAGATAGATAGATAGATAGATAGATAGATAGATAGATAGATAGATAAAGAAAGAAAGAAAGAAAGAATGTATAGATAGATAGATAGATAGATAAAGAAAGAAAGAAAGAAAGAATGTATAGATAGATAGATAGATAGATAGATAGATAGAAAAAGGATAGATAGATAGATAGATAGATAAAGAAAGAAAAGAAAGAAAGAAAGAAAGAAAGGATGTATAGATAGATAGATAGATAGATAGATAGATAGATAGATAGATAGAAAAAAGGATATATAGATATATAGATAAGTACAAAGATTAAAAGAAAGAAAGAAAGAAAGTTGGATAGATATATATATAGCTATAAAGAAAGAAAAAAAATAGATAGATATATAGATAAGTAAAAGAAAGAAAGAAAGAAAGAAAGAAAGAAAGAAAGAAAGAAAGAAAGAAAGGATCATAATTCAAGCAAGGAAGATGTATAATCTTCACAGGTACCAATAGTCATTATCAAGTGCTTCTCTTTTGTGGCCGATTTTGCTATGTTTCTCGCAAAAAGATTACAAGAGAAAAATAAATAAATCAATCAAGCAATTACATGAAGATTTCCTGGCCATTCTCACTGCTCGGCATTCGTGACACTTCGTTCCAACCATATTTAGAAGCTGCGTTTTATCAATAGTCTGAGAGGAGAGGCAACAACGCTTTCGCCGAGTTAGCATTTGGTTTGCCATCCCGTCGAGGACCTTCGTCATGCACGACCGACGATTAGTAATTATTCTAATGAGTCGATTATCACGTATTAGTCAACGATTCCATGATAGCTACTTTGCCCCAAACTAAAAGATGCCAGAAAGAGATTATTCAAAAACCTTGGATTTTTGTTTGTTTGTTTTTTTAGGGGGCGGGGGGGGGGTCTCGAAGAGGATTTTTCTTTCATCCGCTTTTCATCTATGCAACTGCACCGTCTAATTTCTATGAACACAATAAGCGAAAATTACATTCTCCATATTAAAGCTTTACTACCGTTTCTCGTTCTATCATATATGAAAGGTACGCTATTATCAATATTCCGTTTTTTCTTTGTTTCTTTTTTGTTTTGTTTTTTCTTGAATCTGAGCTGGATTAGTTTTATATTCTATATAGTGATTGTGGATCTTATTACTGCATATTTATATCCACTTAGTTGCCTCTTTGTATATCAGGTCATCCAATAAGTAATGTTTTACAGCGGGAGGATTAATATGGTCGCCCTTCTAAAATACCTAATGTGATAACGCGAGATTAAACAGTATTTTCACTTTTCTAAAATATCTTGTGGCATACGGCCACATCACGTTGAAACACCGGTCTACCGTACGATAACCGAAGTTAAGCAACGTTGAGCCTGGTCAATACCTAGATGGGCAATACCAAATGCTGTAAGTTTCGATGTGCCGATGATGTAATATCTAATGGCTCGGAATCTCTATCTATAAAAGGCAGGATGTGTGTGTGTGTGTGTGTGTGTGTGTGTGTGTGTGTGGGTGGGTGGGTGTGTGTGTGTGTGTGTAACGAATGCACGGCCGCAATTTTCGACGGATTTGCACCAAAATTTACATGCACATGCTCCAAGTTAGCGGGAAGGCCAAGACCGACTTTGCATTTCCCAACTCCCATCGATAGTGGAAATAATCGATTTTTTCATGCTTCTACGACAGTTTTCATGTAGTTTGCGGCCATTAACTACTGGCCAGAGTGGGAGCCTATAGCTGGCTGCCACGAATAGGCAGGAAGATTCTATTGGCCAGCGTGAGAGCCAACAGCTGACTGACACGAAAATGAACTAGCATGCTAGCATGCAAAAAAAATCGATAGCTGCATTCGTCACAAGTGGGAAAAATTTAAATCTGCATGGCACTTTACTCCAATTGGCTTATTCGCTTGCTTAGACTCAACGTTGATTCTGATTCCGCAGAACGGGGTTGAGTGTGAAAAAGTAATTGTTGTTAACATTCTTTTTTCATTCGGTTTTTCCAGTTACGAGTCCTTTTTTAAAGCTGATCGTTTTGTGTTCATTTTGTTTAGTTCTTTTTTCGCAATAGATTTAATGTTTAGTATAGAGCTTAGAAAAAATTTGCAGTGTGAGATAGGCAAGAAGTAAGGCATGTAGCAACATCAGCACGGAAAAGGGCACTCCTTTAAAGGCACGGAAGGGCAAAAATATTTTAAGTCAAGTGATAGCGATTGCTGTATGAGTCGTACGATTTATGGATCAAGCACGGGCAACGCCGGGCCATGCTGCTAGTTGTTAATATGAGAGGCGAGTTCCAATTCCAGTTGAATTCATTATATTCACTTACGCGCAAATAGCATTGGGTAAGGTATGAATCCACCTATTCTCCCCAGCTATGGGTTAATTAGTATGACTTTTGTCACTAAACCATTATTATTTCCCCCAAAAAAATGTGCACAAAATATTTTTATTTCGGCATTATTCTTTTAGCCATGTTCGAGAACGATTTTTATTTTTTTTATTTTTAACTGAATACGTTATATATATATATATATATATATATATATATATATGAAGTTATAGGAATATTTTATTTTCAAAACACGATCAGCACGTTGTGGCCATGTTCACAGTTAATTTTGGACAGTTTTTAATACATTGTATCCAGAAAAAAAAAAACTTGAAGGAACACAACGAAAATTAAATAAAAAACTTACTCGTAGTGCCTTGTCAGTCGTCTTTAACGAAACGTGTATATATATATATATATATATATATATATATATATATATATATATATAATATAACTATGAACTAAAAAAGAGCCTAGGTAGGTTTGCCTGGCTCTTTAGTTTCATAGTTAGATTTGCTCTACTAAGTGTATTGAACACTTTACATAGTTACTTTTGCTTTACTCTTTTTGGTGTGTTTTTTTCTTTGGACTCTGAGCTTGGATTCTGGACGATTTTGTTCGCCTCAATTTCATTTTCTTAGTTCTTTCTTTTTTATCCCTTATTTTTCCTAGGGCATTGGTTTGTTCATTTACAAGCCAAAACACCTAAGGTTTTTCCAGACGAGTATAATTACTTATATTTCTATTATTATTATTATTATTATTATTATTGTTTTTATTATATATTGGCTTTATATTGGCTCCTAAAAAATTAATTTCAGTTGAGCTCTCTGGGGAAGAGGTGTGGGTTTGTAAACAGTGACTATTATGGCTGATATAGCGAGACTCTTCGGCAAAAGCGAATTGAGTCACAGGCGGTCACTGCGTGTGTTTATCTAAAAATAAATACGCTAAAATTCACTCATCCCTGCCGTTCTCCGACGGCTTAGTGGTAGAATCACAGACTAACGCCACTTCAGTCGGGTTTCGATCCTGGCTAGAAGAAACTGAATGTCTAGCCACAGTGAAGATCTGCGAAACAGTCTGTCTGTGGATGACGTTATATATATTTGTGTGTTTGCGTGTGCGTATTAGCTTAAAAGCCAACCTTTCGGAAGTTATTTTATTATTCTTATTACTATTGTGTGCTTGCGTGTATGTGTGTGTGCACGTATTAACTTAAAAGCCGCCCTATCGGAAGCCATTTAAGCTAGTTCTTATATTATATTATAATATTATTATTATTATTGTGTGTGTGTGCTTGTGTGTGTGCACGCGCGTGTATGTGTGTGTGCGTATTAACTTAAAAGCCGCCCTATCGGAAGGCATTTAAGCTAGTTCTTATATCATATTATAATGTTATTATTATTATTATTAATGTATGTGTGTGTGTGTGTGCGTGTAGTAGAGAGATGATAGTGTGCTTAAAATTGTATTAGTTTATCTTTTCTTAAAGATTTTAATTTTGCAGCTATTTTTTTTCTTTTAGTTTAATTATTTCCTTCTTATGATAAACATTTATTAATATAAAATGAATAAAAGCGTTTGTATCGTGGGAAAGTTGACTTTTGTTCGGGGACTAAAAGCTTTTTCTTTCTCCACTCTTGTAGTATTTTGACCCCGTTACGAATTCCAAGCCCCCCCCCCCGTCTCCTTTCCGAAAGAAGTCACCTGCACATCCATACTCGGGGGGGGGGACTCTATTTTGGTATAAATTATTTCTAATTTTCACTAATTATCTCATTAGTAAACCTAACATGGGTTAATTTCAACAAGAAACAGCAAATGCTTTTATCAACATGATATTTTAATATGTCTAATTTGATTAATGTTGTTGCTTTTTATTCAATCTTAATAATGTTCCTAATTCTTTATTAATGATCTCAGTGAGTTCATTTTGAGCAACATGAATTTTTAGAATAAAGCCGACCATGTTTTTTAAAAACTGTATTTCGTTTCTTATTCTTTACTTTTATAATTTGTCTGAATGTGAAATAAAATGTCATATGACACTGTCATCTTCAGTAGTGGATTGTGGATTTTCTGAAAATTAAATAAATCATTAATGTCGCTTTGTTTCAAGCAAAACATGTGTGTCATATGGACGTTTTATTTCTTCTTGGGATATTAATAATTTTAAAGGTAAAAACTGAGTTACATTGATTATTTTGTACACATTTGTGTATAGTATGTAATCCCAAAATCTATTGAGCAATAGCAGAGCTAGTTCCAACCTGCCCATCATGCAAAAATGAATACAGTTAGATAATGTATGTGTGACGTATAGGTCATGTGATATGGCGGTCTAAGTGTGGCAGTCATAATTGTTTTTTTTTCTGGTGTATTTAAAATGTCGAGGTTCTAAAAGGCAGAGAGTTCGACAGCACAGCTGGAAAAGATCCCAGCTTTCCACTTTATCAATAACTTAACAGCCACCCCTCATCATGAGGGATTATGTAGCACCAGGACGAGTTAACCATGGGTTCTCCGAGCCCGTAGGCTCGGCCAAAAATATTCCCTTAGAACTCGTATAAACCATTTCAAGGTCTGTCTACCTCCCCGGACGAATCTTTGCCCTTCGGCAAAGCCGCGTCCGAATTCCTCTCTGCTCAAGGCAGAGTGTTCGACAGATGGACAAGCGATGGCACTGTTAATATTTAACAGCTCCTCCCACGAGGCATGTCATGTGGCATAAAGCCGAGTTTACTGTGGGTTCTCCGATCCCGTAGGATCGGCCAAAAATATTCCCTTAGAACCCGTATAAACGGGTTCAGGGTCTGTCTATCTTCCCGGACGAAACTCTGCCCTTCGGCATAGCTTCGTCCGGGTTCCTCTCTGCCAAAGCAGAGAGTTCGACAGAAGTCGCACACAGTCAGAGACTGCGTCTCGACTGGCCAAATGATTTTCCAAGCGGAGCTTAGATGTGGCACAAGGCCAAAAGTAGGGGGGATCCTTGTGAGGATCGAACTCACTACTCAGTCGTAATTGTTCTATGAACGGGTTCAGGGTCTGTCTACCTCCCCGGACGAAACTTTACCCTTCAGTAAAGCCTCGCCCGAGTTCCTCTGTGCCAA